GTAATTCATCGAGTCTAAAAGAAACCTCAACAGAATGCAGAAAGCACTGGACGGCCGTTTCGTCCTATATTTGGGACTCATCAGCAGTACGCATCCACTACCGGACAGTTACGTTATCAAGCCAACGTCATACCAACTGTTCCAACGGGCCTCGGTGAGGAAGAGATTGCAAATCAGACTCAATATAGCGACGCTCGCACATGTATTCCGTGATGGAACTCAACTGAGATTCTCTCTAACCATAGGACTGTGCCACTAGCAGCCACGACTACTATTAACAAGCCGCTCAAATTTGAACATTAGAAGCCGGTTCAAACAATGATATACAAATGGTAGAAATTATTAGGAGGATTTGATAATTATAATTAAGTAATTCATCGAGTCAGGGTTTCAATTCTCGGTAGTGGATGCGCACTGCTGATGAGTCCCAAATCTAGGACGAAACGGCCGTCCAGTGCTTTCTGCATTCTGTTGAGGTTTCTTTTAGACTCGATGAATTACTTAATTATAATTATCAAATCCTCCTAATAATTTCTATCACTTACACACACACACACACACACACACACACACACACACATATATATATATATATATATGTATATATATAACCGAATTTACATATATACTGTTATAAGTATCTATAGTTAACCACCTAGGTTAGCCCTCGTTCACTCTTAAACGCACACACACACGCACATCCGTGTGTGTGTTTAATAATTACTGGCTCCACGAGTTTGAAGTATTTGAAATATCCACTACTTCCTTAGATTTTCTAAAGACGATGTACCCTTCGGCATATTTCTAACTGTCAGAATATCCATTTCGTATGAAGGCAGATATGATCTTTACATACGACCGCGTGAATGACAATGGACGCGAGTCTGCACGACTATCAAATTGCGTTTCCACAACGAAGGCAGCCGAGTCATTCCACCTTTGGTGCTGTTTCTCGTCACGTTTCCCGGACAGCATCCGTGGCACCACAAACTATGCAACGAGGAAGACGGAGACATGTTCGTATGCCTTTGGGAAATATGTATATATCGACTTTTTACCTTGCTTTGTTGTCAGGGAGCCAACGCCCAAAATTTGAAAAAGTATATTTAATAGACCATATATATATATATATATATATATATATAATCATTTATTTAAAAATATGATTGCATCACGCTACATAAGAGTTCTCATGTTTCAATATATTATATATATATATATATATATATATATATATATATATATATATATATATATATATATATATATATATATATGACTCTCGACCTATGATGGTCAAGTAGCTCAGTTTCTAGAAACCAACAGCCGGACACTAGTAGATATTATTTGATTATAGTGGTGAAGGCTTTGTGCAAAAAAAACCAGACTTTTTGAATACAGAGACATGCATTACCTGCCACAAGGTCCCTAAACGACCCTCCACAAGATTTTTTGAATTCAGAGTTGTCCTCCTACACCAGCTGACATCCAAGGCTATAGTATTCAGTCTGTCCAGCTATTTTCCCATAGCTGAAGCGAGAAGAAGAGGATTAATACCTATCCCAAGGGTATTAGCACGTAAGTGAATATAATAGATTCGACTGGAATTAAAGGTCAGCTCTCCTATTCCTCAAGCTGAGCCGCTATCTTCTACTACTATACACACACATATGTACGAGTATATATATATATATATATATATATATATATATATATATATATATATATATATATATATGTATAAATTGTTACCTAATAATATATATTTATACTTGATTTGAAAATAATTCTATATACTGTAAGGGATTCTAATACATTTACTTGTTCTTAAACGAAATATAGTTTACTAAAAATTGAAAAGTGAAAATATTTTTCAAATCGTAGTTAAATAAAACGTATTCTAACCTAAACACCCGCAGAAAAGCTTTAAATATACAAATAGAAAAAAATGCCGTAAGAATTTTTTCCGTTAACAATAAAATATTTAAAACATCCAGACGACATGCATTTAACGGATGTTAGATTTCATTGAAAAATACATCCCTACCCGCTACCAAAACGTAACTAATAACGGATACATCAAAATACAGCGATAATGAACACGCAAACACCCCTTGTCTGGTTGAAGTGGATTTCTCTGTATCCTTGGAGACGTGAATTATGGATTTTTGTTCTGTCTTTAAAACCAGTAAATTTAAAAGTTTCTCCGAAATTCGCTTGAGGCTGAAATGGAACTAATGTCTTTAATATAATTACAAAATTAAATTCGGAGCTTTCAGCTTCCATTTTTGAAACATGGTTAAATCAATTAATTTATAATATTAATGCTCTGTAAATTTACATTGAGCACTATTTTGTAAAAATAAAAATATCTATAAGAACACTGGATTATATATCTTACTGTTCTTTCTTTCTTTATATATATATATATATATATATATATATATATGAAACTATATTCATAGATATTTCCATGAATCTGTATACAATAATAAAGTGTATATTTAGATTAGGATGAAGGGGGTTATGTTCGCCTGTAACCTTTGACCGAAAATGATTCATTTTATCTTATTTCTCTCGATGAACGAATTCTCGGCGATACTGAAAATGACATATGGCATTCATCGCCGAGGTACCAGCGACAGGATATGATCGCAATCTAAGGAATGCGAATCGCCCTCCCCATTAATACGTGTCTGTTGTTATCCCTGAGGAACAGGAAATTTGCCGGGCTTTCTACATAATCTAATGTTCGAAATAATATCGCTCAATGTGTGATTTAATAAAGGCTCCAACCAATACGAATGTACCGTTTGAACACTCTTCAAAGAGGACAGGTTTAGTTGAGCGTTTTATGTTGCAGATTAATTCATAGAAAAAAAATTGCAATCATTTTCTGTAAGCAGCTGGATAATTATTGTTCATCTTCATAGAATTATCAACTAATAAAGTAAAATAATACAATGATATATTGAATTATGTATGTTGAATGACATTTGAATATATATATACATTATATATATATATATATATATATGTAAAAAGCGTATATAAATATAAATAAATATATATATATATGTATAATTATTTATATATTATATGCGCGGTACTTATTAGAAAGCGCTCAATATCAGAGATAGAGCTAACATATTTGGTTGGATAGATGTGAGTTTGTGACCCTGGGTTTCACGCTTTAGCGATCTGACGATCTGAAGATATATATACACACAGATATATATATATATATATATAAAGCAAACATATATACATATCTATATATTTATATAGATATGCATATCTATATATATAATATGTATACATATGCGCATATATATACACATCCTCATAATTATTATTTATAAAAAAAATTATAACATAAGTATGTTATAAAATCACTACAAAAATAGACATTTTGTTTCAACACACTCTGTGTCTTATCAAGTGATGATGTTGAAGATAAAATAAATGATTTTAAAAGTTTCAGATTAATTAACGATCCTACACTAGGGGGATACATAGTTACAAAAGCTAGAATAACCAATCAAAAACCAAGTATAGAAAGATTCAAAAGCTTGTATATGTATATAAAAATATATGTATATATACATACACGTATACAATATACATATATATATACATACACGTATACAATATACATACATTATATATATATATATATATATATATATATATATATATATATATATACAGACACATATACAATATATATATATATATATACATACACGTATACAATATACATATATATATATATACACGTATACATATATACATATATATATATATATATATATATATATATATATATATATATATACAGACACATCAAAACAATATATATATATATATATACAGACACGTAAACAATATATATATATATATACAGACACGTATACAATATATATATATATATATATATATATACAGACACATATACAATATATATATATATATATACAGACACGTATACAATATATATATATATATATATATATATATATATATATATATATATATATATATATATATACATACAGACACATATACTATATAGATATATAAATATATATATATACATACAGACACACATACAATATATATATATATATATATATATATATATATATATATATATATATATACAGACACGTATATAATATATATATATATATATATATATATACAGTCACGTATACATATATATATATATATATATACAGACACGTATACAATATATATATATATACAGAGATGTATATAATATATATATATATATATACAGACATGGAGACAATATATATATATAGAGAGAGAGATATTGAGAGAGAAAGAGAGAGACACGTATATTCTATATATATATATATATATATATATACATAATAAAATAAATAAAAGGAGATAAATGTTGAATAATTTCAGAAAAATTATTTACATTTGTAAGGGAAGTATTATAATTTTGTGTTGTTTAAATGGGAGGAGGTAGTGAGATCATAAAACTTTTTTTTATGGGCGTATTTCTTTTTTGACGGATCTAAATACAGATCTGATTTAAGAATTGGAAACTGGAAAAATAGTTAAGTGATGTGTGTGGGTATGTAATTCATGGTTGTCGTGAACTGTCTATCTTTTCATAGAAACATCATTTTCCTTCTCTTATTTAGGAGTTTTATAAGATAAAATATTATTAAATTCAGAGTAAAGTTTGTATCGAGCCATGTGTTATTTATATCTATATATCTATATATAATATATATATATATATATATATACAGTTAACTACGATGTTTTTAATGTAATACTAATTGTAATTTATAGTGCTTTATGCTTTAAAATGTAATACTAATTATAATTTTTAAATTTCTTAAAAAATAATTGCCAAAGAATGTAATTTTTTTATCGGACTGTTCTTTCCTCTATTTGAATACACACACACATTATACATACATATATATATATATATATATATATATATATATATATATATATTATTTTCTTTTTAAAATATGATTCATATTTTTAAAATGAAAAAGAAAAGAAAATGATTATATTTTCTCTGCTATTTTGTATTTAGCACTGGCTTTTAAAGAAATATAACTGCTAAGTACACCGGATTATAAACCTTACTTTTCTTTCTTATTATTTTAATTATATATATATATATATATATATATATATATATATATATTATTTACATTAAATGAAATTTAGTGCAATTTCTTTTGTACACTTTTCCATTCAAACTGACTGGTGTCTTAACCGATAACACCTTATTTATCACTTATTTCAAAAATGTTATTAGTATTCATGAAATGAATATTGATGAACTCTTCACACACCTTACATTAATTGTCGACGCTGCGGCCCGAAATGTAAAGGCCAAATAGTCAATGATCTCATGTACAAAGTTTAGTCTTCAGGTCATTTTTTTTCCTTTTAATCTCCTCTGCTTTTTCCTCACATCTAAATATTTTTTTTGTTTTTTTTGTCGTCTATCTATCTGTCGACAGAGCGGTCTGTGTCTATGTCTCTCTACCAATGCGGGTGTTATGAAAATATATAATTCAAAAACCAATTCTTGTAATTGGTGTTCCAATCAAATGTGTGGCATGGCTCGGTACGCGAACATTTCTACAACGTCTATACTGTGTGGGATGAGTATATTGTCACCATTTTATATATTTAATTTCGCGCATGCGTTTTTTTTTTCAACTGCGCTGAATCGTAGGTTAATTTTGGCATTTTCTGTGAGACAAAGTTCACATTGGTGCATTTCACTCCGACAGAAATTTGGAAACGGCTTGCTGTACCGATTGGCATTCGCACCGGGATCTACAATTTGATCATTTTAGTGTGTTTGTCTGAGAATAGCTTAGAGTATTCAGAAAGTGCTGGATAGTTGTTTCATATGTATCTACATACATGTCTGAGTCGCCTCATATCTATATCAGAAACGACTGAGATTTATAGATAGATATGAAATGATTGAGGTTTTTAGATAGATATGAAATGATTGAGATTTATAGATAGATATGAAATGATTGAGGTTTATAGATTGATATGAAACGACTGAGATTTATAGATTGATATGAAACGACTGAGATTTATAGATTGATATGAAACGACTGAGATAGATAGATAGATAGATAAAGAGAGAGATATAGTTAGAGAGATATATGGATAGATATGAACGGACTAAGATAGATAGATATGAATCAACTAATATAGGTATGAAACGACTAAGATAGATATGAAACGACTAAGACAGATAAATAGATAGAGAGATAGGTAAATAGATATTAACGGATAAATATGAATCGACTAAGATAGATAGATATGAAACGACTAAGATAGATAGGTAGATATCTTGACTGTGTGTATGTTGTTATCGCTTGATAAATGTTACTGAAGTCATGTTTATTGACGTCAGTTAATTGGAAGACATGTTGCCAGCAGCTGGTGTTTCACGATAAGAGTCCGTTGCATTGCTTCATTAAGTTCTCGCTGGCAAAATGCAGTATTATTGGGCATATGGAAGCGGAACCTAATTATCCTTGACATGTACGCGCTTTAGAGAGACAGAGGCAGACTTAGAAATCGATTGATCGCAACAAGATTGATAACTAGATTGTGACTGTATCATCAGCCAGGAAATGACACCGAAAGATTGCGACACTTATATGCTTAGTGCGTGAAGAGTAAATAAAGTGATAGTTAGATAAATAGACATATAGTACGGTAGCCAGGTATGTGTGCAGGGAGGAAGGGGGCCAGTTATTCTTCCAGGCAAGAAGGTGGCCAGGTATTTGTGCAGGCTGGAATGGAGCCAGATATGCGTACAAGCAAGAGGGTAGACAGGTATGTTTGCAGGCAGGACGGTGGTCAAGTATTCTCGCAGGTATACTGTAGATATGCATACCAACAAATAATTACCACATGCATACATTAGTTAGATAAACAAACAGAAATACAGATAAACAGGTACTTCCTGAAGGAGTTATATATATATATATATATATATATATATATATATATATATATATATACTGCGTGCCAAATTATTATCGAGATAACTTTTTTCTAATATTTCAAAAACCGTCCAATCAATTCACACAAAATTTTCACACAATGTTGGCAACACTGACCTGCGCAATCACTGAAATTTTCGTACTGATCTGCGCAATGTAAACAAACTGGCGCCATATTTGTTATCAGCACGGTGATTTGAGCGTGCCAAATTATTAGAAAGGTTTAGTAAAATTCCCAGAATTGAGCAAACAAAACGTTTATTAATGATGAACGTGAATGTTTATGATCAAAAGAAGCTAATAAATAAGATAATCAAACAAATAATAACAGATACAAACAAAGGCAAAGTTTTAAACAAATTAATTGGGAATGTGCTTTCCCTGTTTTGAAATTACTTTTGCAAATCCATCACTCTTTTCAAGACAGTTACGTTGAGGTACACCATATTGTGGTGCTATCAATCCAGAAGTTCACATCTCGGAAGCATACAGCGTTTTTATTCCCATTCCTGGAAAAAAGCATGTACTATTAAGATGGCTCATTGCACTAAACTGTTGCCATGTACAGCGGACTCCCGAGAGGATGCTTTCTTTATCACAATAATCTTAACCTCACCAAGTTTTGGATAAAACGCTAACTCTCCTACATATCTTCAAAATATGCAATCACTGCTTCCACCATACGAAACTTGACCACGTATATATTTATTAAAAAGAGAATTATTTGTAGCAAAAGAAAGCTAACGTAAATAATAGTTTATATATATATATATATATATATATATATATATATATATATATATATATATATATATATATATAAAATAAAACGGACCATAAAGTTCCATGTAATAAATTATTTCACCACAACCCTTTTAAAAACTTCGGATCATAAGACTTTTCAACCTTTGGAAGTAAAGTCTGATGATCCGCAGTCCTTTTTTAAAAGGGCTGTGATGAAATAATTTATTACATGGAACCTTAAAGTGGTCTGTTTTTATTTAAATTATTTGCTCTGGATTTACATTGAGCTCTCTGGATTTTATCCTCCTCGGGTTTACCCATACGGATTACCTAGTTTTCCATAAACTAACTAACTAACTATATATATATATATATATATATATATATATATATATATATATATATATATATGCGTGTGTGTGTGTGTGTGATCATGACAAACCAACACTGTGTGGTGACTGAGATCGTCTTCGTTCCTTAAGCCGTATAACTAAATTTCACTTATATATATATATATATATATATATATATATATATATAATTATCAATTAATTAACTTAATTTAACACTTAATGAAGCTATATATATATATATATATATATATATAGCTAGCTCATTAAGTATTAACTTAAGTTAATTAAATAATTAATATTTACTATATATATACATATATATATATATACTAATTACGTATAATAAGACACTATATATGTATGGAGAGGGAATGCCCGTATACATGCGCATACTAATGTATATGCGACCAATAATACACATACACACAACATAGGAGGTATGTCTGTATGCGTATGTATGTGTATACTAATTCCTTATAATAATGCATGAATGGAGAGGAAATATACGCATACCTACGCATGCTTACAAAAACACACACAATACAAATAAATGGAAATAGGTTTAAGAAGAAACAAGGGTCATTAAAAGATAAGATTACAGATATCTTTCTTCTCTCTTTCTCGGAACAATCTTAATTGTCTTATATCCCTTCACGCAGAAGAACTTTCTAACTGCCAGTTAAAGGAAGACATTTGTATCACTAATGCAAACAAAAAGAGAATGTTTAACATCGAAAAACATAAGAAACATGAATATCCACTCTTTGCCTGATAAAGGTCACGACCGAAACCAGTGTAGCCAAATTATGGCAAATAAACCATAATATATTTGTTTTAAATTCTGCATTGCAACCAAACACGTTTGTGGTTTCTGTCTTATTATATATATATATATATATATATATATATATATATATATATATATATATATTTTGCCCATACGGATTACCTAGTTTTTCATAAACTATATATATATATATATATATATATATATATATATATATATATATATATATTTGTTAGAGGTACAGAAACGTAATATTGCAAGGAATAGATACAATTTATTTCTAGAAGCATTATGAAAAAAAAAAAATAAGAGATGATAACACTTACAGAACAGACCAACCGGTTTCGTTCCCAATCTCATCAGGGTCGACTGGGAACAATTTAACAATTATTTCAATATATATTGACTCACACAAACACCCTACATACAATTAAAACATTAAAGAATGAAATGATTAATGGTATGAGAGGAAAAAAATATCAAAACCGCGGTAATTTGCAAAGCACAACGAAGCTAAAAAAAAAGTGGGGTTGTGTGAGGGGAATGTATGATACGCACTAGACTCTAATAACGTGAAGCCCAAGGAGACAGTCTTTTTGCTTACAAAGAGACGGCTCCCTGGACTGGATATACAGAGACTCAAGTGCCCGCAAATGAAATGGAGAGTGCGAACTGGACAGTACAGTAAATCGATTCGGACTAAAATTGATTGCACAATCCCTGCAATTTATCAAATGTTCAGTGATCGCTGACCAGGTAGTATTAACCAACTGGCTCTTACGGGCATCCGGATTAAGAACTCATAATGGGACATGCTGCCCGATCCTCTAATCTAAAAGTTGTGAAGTCCTTCCTATGTAGTTGGTGCCACAACCATATTTCAAAGAATAAATCACCGAAGAAACATATGATGGGGAGGAAGAGGATCCTTACGCATAGAGGAAAAGGCAGACCGATATATATATATATATATATATATATATATATATATATATATATATATATATATATATATATTTGTTTAGATAGATGTGAGTGTGTGATCCTGGGTTTCACGCTTTTGCGATCGTCAGACAAACTGATTATTTTTTTTTTAAATTTGGGTTTATGTAGATTGCGTGTGTTGGTGTTATTATGGGAGTATGGGGGGGTCGTCGTCGTGATGGCATCGTGCTAACGCAAACATATATGCATGTCCGTACATCAGATGAGGTACGGACACATACACACTTGCTTGTCCGTCGGGACTCGTACATATATAAACATACGCATAATACCGCGCATATAATATACAAATAATTATATATATATATATATATATATATATATATATATATATATATATATATTTATATTCACACACTTTTCACACACACACACACATTATATATATATATATATATATATATATATATATATATATATATATATATATATATATATATACACAATTTTTTCAAACATATCACTCAGGAAAGTGAGTTATCAATGTAAGAATACGAAGTGTAACTTTTGAGCAAAGCAGAATAGCTAACTTTTGGATCTTAAAGGGTTCACGAATGCATCGTGTATAGACGTGGTAGTCTCTTCCACCGAGATATTCGAAAAATAATCTCTCTCATTGGATCATCTTCCTTACACTTTGTATATGGAGTAAATCACATTGGTTCGATACCGTAAATGTATCATAGCGGATCTTAACTGTAAATATCCGAACTGGGCCATTTAAAGAGTAGAGATCCCATGAAATTATCAATGGTAGAAAATGCGATAGAGTTCAATGTTCTTTACTTGTTATGAATTAAAGATTTTCCGACTTTTTTTCTCGAGAAATGTAACGTCGCAAGACCATCGCTATTTACCCAGTAAATTGTCGGACTAGCTTCATCTTTTAGTTCCACCAGATCAAACCATTTAAGCTAAGAGCCGTCATGCTCTATATTGATTTTCTAAGCCTAGCATAGATATGGCACAAGACCTAAATTATGCGGCATTCAATGAGGATCGAACTCACTACTCAGTCGTAATTGTTCTAGCAAGACGAAGTTGCTAACCATTGCTAACCTTCATACTCCAAATGTTTAATAAACTACGTCTGATTTCTTTTTAAATTCCGCTTGCTGTTTTAAGATTAGATTTGCAAAGAGGTGGAGAATGAATAATAAAAATATGGCAATAATTTAAATCCTTGTCCAAATGGTTTATAGAAAGTTAAGGAAGGAAACGTTGCGGGGAATTATAAGAACGATTTAAAGAAATGTTGACCAAGAAGAAATGAAAACCAGCGAGAGTTTGTAAGGGAATCGAAGGAAATTGAATGGCGAATGAGGAAAAGAGAAATCTAGAGTTGGTGTATATTTATTAATTTAAAAACAAAACGATTAAGACAGAAAGAAGTGAAAGAATGAAGGAAAGAAAGAGAGAGATAAACTGAGACAGACAGAAAGAAAGAACGAGAGAAAATTGACAGACAGACAGAAAGAGAGAAATAGAGACAGACAGAATGAAAGAGAGAGAAATAGAGACAGACAGAAAGTGAGAAACATGCAGACAGACAGAAACAGAGATACATATAGAGACAAACATAAAGAGAGAACAATATACAGACAGACAGAAATAGGGAAACATATACAGACAGAAAGAGCGGACCAACGACGGGTAGAAAGAGAGAGAACCAAAGACGGTTAGGAAGAGAGAGAGAAAGTGAGAGAGAGAGAGAGGGATCCAAAGACGGATAGAAAAAAAAGAGAGAACTAAAGACGGATTGAAAAAAAGAGAAAGAACCAAAGACGGAGAGAGAGAGAGAGAGAGAGAACCAAAGACGTATAGAAAGAGAGAGAGAGAGAGAAAGAGAGAACCAAAGACGGATAGAAAGAGAGAGAGAGAGAGAGAGACCAAAGACGGATAGAAAGAGGGAGAAAGAGAGAACCAAAGACGGATAGAAAGAGAGAGAGAGAGAGAAATTTGAACCAAAGACGGATAGAAAGAGAGAGAGAGAGAGAAAGAGAGAGAATCAAAGACGGATAGAAAGAGAGAGAGAGAGAGAGAGAAAGAGAGAACCAAAGACGGATAGAAAGAGAGAGAGAGAAAGAGAGAACCAAAGACGGATAGAAAGAGAGAGAGAGAGAGAGAGAAAGAGAGAGAATCAAAGACGGATAGAAAGAGAGAGAGAACAAAAGACAGAAAAAAATAGAGAGAACCAGACGTGTAGAAAAATGAGACAACCAAAGATAGATAAAAAGAGAGAGAGAGAGAGAGAGATAACCAAAATTGATAGAGAAAAAGAGAGAGAGAGAGGACCAAAGACGGATAGAAAGAGAGAGATCCAAAGACGGATAGAAAGCGAGAGATCCAAAGACGGATAGAAAAAGAGAGGGAGAAACAAAAACGGAGAGAGAGAGAGAGAGAGAACCAAAGACGGACAGAAAGAGAAAGAGAGAACCAAAGATAGATAGAAAGAGAGGGAGAATGAAAGACAGATAGAGAGAAAGAGAGAATCAGAGACGGATAGAAAAGGAGAGAGACCCAAAGACAGATAGAAAGAAGAAACAAAGATGGATAGAAAAACATGATGAAATCAAAAATTCTCACACAAAGTAGAAAGGGATAAATAATAAAATAAAGAAAAATATAATGAAAGAAGATGGAAAGTTCGAAAAATATCCCAAAGTATGAAATAATACGGAATAATCGTGAGAAAAATCTGACCCAAAAGAAAAGAAATAATGTAAGAATTTTCAAAAGACGAAAAAAGTGCGAAATAGGACAAAATTTAAATTATAATGAAAGCCAAAATAGAGTAAATCTTCAAAAGTAAAGTAACAATGAGAGTAAAGAAGATAAATCACTTGAATAAATCAAGAAGTAACGATAATGAAACATTTGAAATGAAAAAAAAGTCCTCGAAGAAAAAATAAGAAATCAATGGCACAGATAAAAAAAAAAATTAAACAAAGAGAAATTCACTTTTTGATGTAATAATCCCATTAGAAAACTCAGTGTAATCATTTTTAAAACGAAAGTATTTCTTTAATCTGTTATTTTATTTCCTTATTTTTATTTCATTTTGTTTTTAAACATAAATATTTGATTGTTGTCTGCTTCTTTTGAATCGCTACGTTTAATTTTTAATCATATTTACATTTTCCTTGACTAATAGCTATTTTTAATCATTTTTTCCAGAACTTTCATTTTCTTTGAGAGCCAATCATTTATACATTAACTTTATTTTATTTTATTTTAAAAAATAAAAAAATTCTACTTCTTCTGTGATGTCTCTGTCCGTTTACTTTTAATGAAATTAAAAGTAATAAAGCCTGGTTAGCTGGTGACAAAGAGGGAGATGGTGAAAAAGAAGATATACATTGGGAGAAATTACTGGGAATAGCATAAGGAGTGTGGATGTTAAAGTTCGTCTGTCAACTAATTGCTATTAAATCATCCATTTGCGACAGTGTGAAAATTGAAGCACATTGGCTACGAAAGAACAGAGGTGTGAAGAATACGTCAAAAATAACGTCTGTCACACTGTTATTTTATTATTATTTTTTAAATATTCTATAATTTTAATACTCCATATTTTAAAAGAACAATAAAAATAACTACCACAAAGTTCTGGTTGAAAGGATGGTTTCTTTTTAATATGTGAACCTCAAGTGGGCAGTATTGCGAGCCAATATTTAAATTATCTGAGGTGTCATTTGTCATAGTTAAGTGGAATATGCTTTGCCTGTTTTTAAAAACTAATTTATTCATCGACTGGAGTAAAAAAGACAAAACAACAAAGCACCAATTATTTTTATTTGGAGTGAAAAGAAACAAAAGAATCCATACACGCTCAATGCTTAATATCCGGAAATTCTTTAGTTTAAATGATACATTTCGACACAGATGGTCACTAAATTGAAGATATGTCCACCACTTTTTTCGTTATTAAAATTATTCAAAATAAAAAAAAAAAACATCGGTATCGCAAATTATAGTGATAAAAAAATATAAGACGCTTAAATTAGTTGGTCATAAAAAATATCAAAATCATAAAATATGCAATCAAAAACCTGACAAAACACACACACAATATATATATATATATATATATATATATATATATATATATATATATATATATAAACGGGAACAATTTAACAATCCAATAAAACCATGGGTGATGGAAGAAAAATAATTTATTTATAGTAATTGTAACCTTAAAATATGCCATTTAAGAAAAAAATGAAATTTTCATTTTCATTACGTCCTGTAGATGGCGTCCTCCTGTACGAATGCATTCTTGAAATCTGCTGTTGAGATTCCTCATTGACTGCTGCAACATCTCAGCTGGGATACTGTGAATTTCATCTTGAATTCACTGTTTTAACACATCCAGAGTTCTTGGTCGTGCTGTGTAAACACAGTATCGACATCCCTATCTTGTCTAAACTATAATCTTAAAGGTCAGCCTCAGAAGTTCTCAGCCAAAATACACTGCGACTAAAAAATAATTGTCTGAAGCTTATCTAACGCTTTCAAATAAAGGTCTATTTGTATGTTGAATTTTGCGATAAAAATGTATTGAATTTGGGTTTATTATAAAACTATACTGTTGAGTTTTGTTTGGGGATTCGCTATATGCCCATAGATGAGACCCTAAAAGGTGCTACAACCCCGGCATCAGGGTGGACATGGGAACAACAGCAATTAAGAGATGGTACTACGCTCTACAAAACATCCAATCTCCCGATTAGCGGCTTTGCTGCCGATGTAATTTTTCGTCTTACCCAGGACACCTGAGGGTTCCGTTATATTCACTTACGCGCAAAAACACCCTAGGAAAATGTTTGAAGCTACCTAATTTCAACCCCCACCCAGCCCCAGCTAGTCGTCTATTAATAGGGCATGTATTTATTATTATCTCAAAAAAATTATTCTTACAATTTAAAAAAATATCTGGTTTAAAATAACCGTCAAAACTTTGTTAAGCTGTAAAAAATATAAAAATAATAAATCAATCTATCGATCGAAATTTAAAACCAATTTCGTTCAGGGTTGATGACTGCTTGTCAATCTTTAAACTTTCTTCATAATTTTACCTGTATAAATGGAAGAGCTTATAGTCGTCTTAAAAAATCATCTTGACATTCCTTTAGAGTGATATATATATATATATATATATATATATATATATATATATATATATATATATATATATTCGCCTTCGCCTCTCTGCCGAGCGTCGATAGCTTAGGGGGTAGTATCTCCAACTGATACCAAATCGATCGTGTTTTGATCCTGGCTTGAAGCGATCTGATGTCTATCCACACGGAGGAGTTGTGATACATCAAAACAGTGTTTCTGTCGATTACGAGTATGTTGCATTTTACCTTTTACAGTAATATATATATAGCTAGAAAAGGTAAAATAATTAGAATAATCTGAATTTTACAAATGTATTTTATCGGAACAATTTTTATATCCCCTGGAAGAATTACTATGTCATAAAATAATCAGTAACTGATTTGGGATTCGCAAGCTAAAACGCCTTTCTTCTATATTTGGGAATTTCCCCCCTTTCCATTGTCCCTTCACTTAATTTATGGTGGTATACTGTATCTTTCCATTGCCCCTTCACCTTATTTATGGGGAGTAGACTGTACTCATTCCATTGCCCCTTCACTTTATTCATGGGGGTATACTGTATCTTTCCATTGCCCTTTCACTTTATTCATGGGGGTATACTGTATCTTTCCATTGCCCTTTCACTTAATTTATGGAGGTATACTTTACTCATTCCATTGCCCCTTCACTTAATTTATGGGGGGTATACTGTACTCATTCTATTGCTCCTTCTGTTAATTTATGGGGGTATACTGTCCTCTTTCCATTGCCCCTTCACTTTATTTATGGGGGGTATACTTTACTCATTCCATTGCCCATTCACTTAATTTATGGGGGTAGACTGTACTCTATTGCCCCTTCTCTAAATGTAAGCCGTACACTACTCCTTTCACTGCACCTTCAATTAATCTATGGGGGTAGACTGTTCTCGTTGCCCTACCCTGTCGGTTACCCGGATCGATTCCATAGCGAGCGAAACGTTATGATAGCAAGTACACAGGTGAGGACAACATTTCAAATGTAAATAGCGTAAATAAAATATTATATATCCCTTCTCTTGAACAATATAAGAAGAAGAGGTGCTTTTTTGCCTTTTTTTCAAGTCTGTTCATTAGTTTAAATCTGATGAAAAGCGATAGCGAAACCCGAACGCGTGTTAGAATAACAAATGTATGACTTAAAAGAACTCAACAAAGCAATAAGAAAGTAATATCGTTATGAACAAAGAAAAACGTCCTGAACTTTTGTTGCCTTGCAACTCAGACCAGAAACCAGGTCCGTTGACAGGGCTCAGTTTCTTTCAGTCAAACGCTTGTGCCTTCAAAATAACCTTTCAGACTATCATTACCCACGATTGAAGAACAAAATAATGTCTAGTAGTAAATCAGATTTTATTCTTAGGTGGAACTTTATTATCATAAGCAAACGAAGGCGGATTGAAGCGTGAGTGCGGAGGTGCGTAATTCAGCGGCTGTCGTCTGTCTTTATGCGTGGGTTGCTTCGTTCCTTCTGATTTTCTTTGCCAGGATGGTCCGCTTTATAGACAACAGTTTTCTTTGTCTTGTCATCTTTGTCTAAAAAATGTAATTCATCTTCCTTCTATCACTTTCTCTCGGTCTGAGGTTTTTCTCTTGTACTTAGAAGTTGTCTCCAATTACTGATAATCATCGGTCGAAAGTCAATGCTCCGTATCGAGGTGTGAGACAAGTCCAACATTTTATAAAATTTAACAAGACCTCCACTTGACTCATATTGTTACGCTTTCATCTAATATTAATATTTTTTTATATAGTAGTGAATTCTGGACAATCTCTTCATAGATGAAGAGACAAAAGGATGTCCTGTGAATAATGAATAATTCTTAAGGAAAATGGAAACAAAATCAAAATGAGGCAGTTGAAATTTCTAGATCATATAATGAAGGATGGCGAGCTTAGAGAATTTGGCACTCAGGGGATATACAGATGATAAAAGAGACAAAGGGAAGCAACGGGTCACTTACTTGACGTAGAATGTTTGATTGGGGAACAGTGATTGGAGATCTTAAGAAAGGAAAAAACGTGGCTAAGGGCTACAAGGAATCGGAGGTTGGAGAGAGCCGTCATTGCAAATTTCCTAAATGAAAGCGCCACATAGAAGAATTATAAGTTGCTGTATAATCTCTTGTTACTTCTACAATACTTGCATTTAAACTTAATTGGCCTTTCACAGATGGTGCCGGTAATGTTTGGTAAGTGCTCATACTGTTCTTCTTTGGGCATATATTTCCCGCTTATATTTTGAGCTTCACTCAATAGTCGATTATACATACCAGCATCATCTAATTTGAGGGGCCAGTTATTTTATTAATGTCAAACTTCTTGACCAGTATAAGAGTTTTACCTTTGTTCATCATTACTGTATGACTGTACCGCAGATACATCAGGCAATTTGAACGCAATGTAGACTTCTTTGTTTGA